TGCTGTGCATGACTTGGGTACTGCTGAGCATGACTTGGGTACTGTTGTGCGTGGCTTGGGTACTGCTATGCATGACTTGGGTACTGCTGTGCATGACTTGGGGTACTGCTGTGCATGACTGTTGTGCGTGTCTTGGGTACTGCTATGCATGACTTGGGTACTGCTGTGCATGACTTGGGTACTGCTGAGCATGACTTGGGTAATGCTGTGCATGACTTGGGTACTGCTGTGCATGACTTGGGTACTGCTGTGCGTGTCTTGGGTACTGCTGAGCATGACTTGGATACTGCTGTGCATGACTTGATTACTGCTGTCCATGACTTGGGTACTGCTGTGCATGACTTAGGTACTGCAATGCATGACTTGGGTACTGCTGTGCGTGTCTTGGGTACTGCTGTGCATGATTTGGGTACTGCTGAGCATGACTTGGATACTGCTGTGCATGACTTGGGTACTACTGAGCATGACTTGGGTACTGTTGTGCGTGGCTTGGGTACTGCTGTGCATGACTTGGGTACTGCTGTGCATGACTTGGGTACTGCTGAGCATGACTTGGGTCCTGCTGTGCATGACTTGGGTACTGCTGTGCATGGCTTGGGTACTGCTGTGCATGGCTTGGGTACTGCTATGCATGGCTTGTGTACTGCTGTGCGTGTCTTGGGTACTGCTGTGCATGACTTGGGTACTGCTGAGCATGACTTGGATACTGCTGTGCATGACTTGGGTACTGCTGAGCATGACTTGGTTACTGCTGAGCATGACTTGGGTACTGCTGTGCATGACTTGGGTACTGCTGTCCATGACTTCGGTACTGCTGAGCATGACTTCGGTACTGCAATGCATGACTTGGGTACTGCTGTGCGTGTCTTGGGTACTGCTGTGCATGACTTGGGTACTGCTGAGCATGACTTGGATACTGCTGTGCATGACTTGGGTACTGCTTGGGTACTGCTGAGCATGACTTGGTTACTGCTGAGCATGACTTGGGTACTGCTGATTGCATGACTTAAATACTGCTGTGCATGACTTGGGTACTGCTGAGCATGACTTGGGTACTGCTGAGCATGACTTGGTTACTGCTGTGCATGACTTAAATACTGCTGAGCATGACTTGGGTACTGTTGTGCGTGGCTTGGGTACTGCTATGCATGACTTAAATACTGCTGTGCATGACTTGGGTACTGCTGTGCATGACTGTTGTGTGTCTTGGGTACTGCTATGCATGACTTAAATACTGCTGTGCATGACTTGGGTACTGCTGAGCATGACTTAGGTAATGCTGTGCATGACTTGGGTACTGCTGTGCATGACTTAAAATACTGCTGTGCGTGTCTTGGGTACTGCTGAGCATGACTTGGATACTGCTGTGCATGGCTTGGGTTACTGCTGTGCATGACTTGGGTACTGCTGTGCATGTCTTGGGTACTGCTGTGCGTGGCTTGGGTACTGCTGAGCATAAGCTTAAGGTACTGCTGAGCATGACTTGGATACTGCTGTGCATATTGCGTTGCTAGACTGCTATGCGTGTCTCTAGGGTACTGCTGAGCATGACTTGGGTACTGCTGTGCATGGTACTTTGGGTACTGCTGAGCATGACTTGGATACTAGCTGTGGCTTGGGTACTGCTGGCATGACTTGGTTACTGCTGAGCATGACTTGGGTACTGCTGCGCATGACTTGGGTACTGCTGAGCATGACTTGGGTACTGCTGTGCATGACTTGGTACTGCTGAGCATGACTTGGGTACTGCTGTGCATGACTTGGGTGTCTGCTGAGCATGACTTGGGTACTGCTGTGCGTGGCAGGGTACTGCTACATGACTTGGGTACTGCTGTGCGTGACTTGGGTACTGCTGTGCATGACTTGGGTACTGCTGTGCATGACTGTGTACTGCAGTGCGTGTCTTGGGTACTGCTGAGCATGACTTGGGTACTGCTGTGCATGACTTGGGTACTGCTGAGCATGACTTGGGTACTGCTGTGCATGACTTGGGTACTGCTGTGCATGACTTGGGTACTGCTGTGCATGACTTGGGTACTGCATGTTGCATGACTTTGGATACTGCTGTGCATGACTTGGGTACTGCTGTGCATGACTTGGCATGACTTGGGCACTGATTGGGTACTGCTGTGATACTGCATGACTTGGGTACCGCTGTGCATGACTTGGGTACTGCTGGGCATGGCGTGGCTTGGTTACTGCTGTGCATGACTTGGGTACTGCTGAGCATGACTTGGGTACTGTTGCGTGGCTTGGGTACCGCTATGCATGACTTGGGTACTGCTGTGCATGACTTGGGTACTGCTGTGCATGACTGTTGTGCGTGTCTTGGGTACTGCTGTGCATGACTTGGGTACTGCTGTGCATGACTTGGGGTACTGCTGAGCATGACTTGGGTAATGCTGTGCATGACTTGGGTACTGCTGTGCATGACTTGGGTACTGCTGTGCGTGTCTTGGGTACTGCTGAGCATGACTTGGATACTGCTGTGCTGACTTGATTACTGCTGTGCATGACTTGGGTACTGCTGTGCATGTCTTGGGTACTGCTGTGCGTGTCTTGGGTACTGCTGAGCATAGCTTGGGTACTGCTGAGCATGACTTGGGTACTGCTGTGCATGACTGCTATGCGTGTCTCGGGTACTGCTGTGCATGACTTAGGTACTGCTGTGCATGACTTGGGTACTGCTGAGCATGACTTGGTTACTGCTGTGCATGACTTGGGTACTGCTGTGTGTGACTTTGGTACTGCTATGCGTGTCTTGAGTACTTCTGAGCATGGCTTGGGTACTGCTGTGTATGACTTGGGTATTGCTGTGCATGACTTGGGTACTGCTGTGCGTTGCTTGGGTACTGCTATGCGTGGCTTGGGTACTAGTGCGTGTCTTGGGTACTGCTGTGCGTGGCTTGGGTACTTGTGCGTGGCTAGGATACCGCTGAGCATGGCTTGGGTACTGTTATTCGTGGCTTGGGTACTGGGTACTGCATGACTTGGGTACTGCTATGCGTGGCTTGGGTACTGCTGAGCGTGACTTTGGTACTGCTGTGCGTGGTTTCGGTACCGCTGTTCGTGGCTATGGTACTTTTAGAGCATGGCTTGTTTATCGATATGCATGACTAGAGTACTGCTGAGCGTGGTTAAAATACTGATGCGGTGGCTTGGATACCGCTGAGCGTGGTATAAATACTGATGCGGTGGCTTGGATACTGCTGAGCGTGGTATAAGTACTGATGCGGTGGCTTGGATACCGCTGAGCGTGGTTTAAATACTGATGTGGTGGCTTGGATACTGCTGAGCGTGGTATAAATACTGATGCGGTGGCTTGGATACTGCTGAGCGTGGTTTAAATACTGATGCGGTGGCTTGGGTGCTGCTGAGCATGGCTTGTGTACTGCTGAGCAAATCTTGGGTACTACTTTGCATGGCGTGGCAGTCAGGCAATATCTTATGGATAACAACTTCTTGATTTATTTTTCACAACGTTTCTGGGCTAGTTCTTGCCCCTTCTTCAGGTGAATAATGGTGATAGTGAACAGTACAGTATATATAGATGTACAGGAAGCCAGATATGTAAACTAAGTATATATAAGCGCAAGGGAAGAAGGAGGTATAATTAAGCATGTACAAACAATGCAGTGAGATCAAAGAGCAGAATACAATGATAAAGCATGCTTTACAATAAGGGTTTAGGGTGTGTTAACATAGCAGAGTGGCTAAAGCAGATTGAGTTTGCGCTTGTATATACTCGATTTACATATCTGGCTTCCTGTACATCTATATATATACTGTACTGTTCACTATCACAATTATCCACCTCAAGAAGGGGCAAGAACTAGCCCAGAAACGGTGTGAAAATACGTCAAGAAGTTGTTATCCATGAGATTTGTCTTGTATTACTACACCAACTTCTAAATGCCTGGGTGTTTCTGATCATGTCTGCTCAAGACAACACTGTCAGTATATCACATCGAGATATCACGGAGGTGTCGTGAGATGTCTGATGCATCACCCACAAGCTGTCACTCAGATCACTCAGGCCACTCAGGTCACTCAGGTCACTCAGGTCACTCAGGTCACTCAGGTCACGCAGGTCACTCAGGTCACGCAGGTCACTCAGATCACTCAGGTCACTCAGGTCACTCAGGTCACTCAGGTCACGCAGGTCACTCAGATCACTCAGGTCACTCAGATCACGCAGGTCACTCAGATCACTCAGGTCACGCAGGTCACTCAGGTCACTCAGATCACTCAGATCACTCAGGTCACGCAGGTCACTCAGGTCACTCAGATCACTCAGGTCACTCAGATCACTCAGGTCACTCAGATCACTCAGGTCACTCAGATCACTCAGATCACTCAGGTCACGCAGGTCACTCAGATTACTCCAGGTCACTCAGATTATTCAGATCACTCAGGTCACTCAAGGTATGCCATTACCAGGACAGCGCATACTGTCCGTGACCAAAACAGGGTGAGTGACTTTCCGTCGTCATATACTCCAGCAGAGGGGCGGTGGGGTAGCCTAGTGGTTAAAGCGTTGGCTCGTCACGCCGAAGACCCGGGTTCGATTCCCCACATGGGCACAATGTGTTAAGCCCATTTCTGGTGTCCCCGCCGTGATATTGCTGGAATATTGCTAAAAGCGGCGTAAAACCAAACTCAGTCAGTCATATACTCCAGCGACCTTCTTAGCGACCTTCTAAACAAACCAACTGGAACACGAAGACAGTCTGTCTGACGATTGCTGTGCCACTATGTTGGGGCGCAGATAGCAATATTCCAGCTACACCGTCGCTCACAGAAAGCCACCGAGTAACTAGTGACTGAAAGCATGAACAACGAGTACGGCTCCTTGTAGGAGACCGCTGTCAGCGGGCCTTAGGAGGGTACCTGGACGGAACTACGGTCGAGATTCGTCAATATTAATTTGATCGGAGTTTGGCGAGAAGGCTGGGGTTTATGCTGACGTTTCAGACGGACATTTAGGAAACAATACTTGGTTCGTTTGACAAATCTTATTTCAAAATACATTCAAAGTGATTCATCAGCATAAAGCATTCATCTTAAAGAATCATTGAAACATGACAGTTTAGATACATATTACCAGAAACCCATCCGAGAGGTGCATGGTGTTACCTCAAATACCGGAAATCAAAACTTGAGCACACGAGTATCAGGCAATCGATAGTTGAGCCTGTGAGGCCACATGCAGGAATTGTTTCTGTAGACTATATGATGGAGTGGGTAACTAGTCCACGATCAGAAAGCATGGAGATTATAGAGGCTCCCATACCCGACTGCTTGGTATGTTGGAGTCCAGTGAGTATGTATGAAGCATGCACCAGATGACCCTAGGCATCCACAGACCTTACATGAGTCTGTCTGTCCCACTAGGAACACTGGGGACTGGGTACGGACAGAATCACGTGATATGACAATACATCACAACCAGTATTTAGACATGTAAACGGTGATGAAGTCATTCCGTAACTATATACCATCGGCTACATGTTCCGGTGTACACGTGTAAAACATATGATTATTCATGAGCAGAATATTTACATACATGACACGTGAAGACACGTGGCAACGTAAAGAGATAGCAGACTGAGTACACCCTGGTATCTACGCCCGTGCCACAGTGTGTCATTGGGGCGATAAAGCTCGAGACAGATCTGAATACAGCTTGGAGCTCCATGTCAATACGACATCAGTAAACTCCTCCTGACAAGAATCATCAATTTCAAACTACATGTATTCCTAAGGACCTTTTAGTAAAATTTGTCAAGTAGAAGTTTTAAATTGGACATCCAGATACTGCTTATAGCCTGATACTAACTGGAGGTTCATATGCCATACAAGAATACCGTTGATGTCCTATTTTGCAGAATGTTTGTTGACACGTAAAGGTTCCAAAACAAGTTAGATTATAAGCCCAGCAAAGCTTCACTCCCCCCAGCCAACATGGCAGGGCCAGCACAAACACAGCTTCTCACACAAACCACTTCACAACATAACGGTACTTGAAGAATACTTTGTGCCTAAAACTTTGATGCTGCTAATTTTCCTTGTTAATATCTTTTCCACAACTTCTACACCATCATTGATCTCGGTCTAATGGTGCTCGTCATTCCCGTTGGCGGACACATGCTCTTCTTGGTCGTGATGAACGTACGAACTTTCTATAGCGCACGACGGATTCCGCTCCACCATGGCGTCATAGTCTGGAGTTTTAGGGATGCAGCGTGGCTTCTCCGCATTACCGTATCTCACCACCCGGGCGCCCTTCTCGGGGTGGTGGCTGTCTTTATACTCCACCCTGATGGAGTCACGTGACTGGGAGGACGGGCACTCCTCGAAGTAGTTGTAGGGAAGCAGGGCAAAGCTGAGATGTGCCCCGGGGGTGGGGTGATGGGCATGTCCTCAGTGTGGGGATGTGATGGACGCCCATGCTGATCCAGGCCACCAGGTCCTGAAACATCATGAGGATATCAGTTGTTATCTAACACTTCATGAAGTGTTTTTCGGGACATGTGACACAAGATTTGCCAAAGAACAAATGGCGTTGATCAAGACTATAACGATGTTCCAGGGACGAACACTATCGATTCGATTCAGCCACAATTCTCTGGCACAAAGCAACATGTTCTAGAATTGTTATATTCACATTAACGTTAATGATATCAGTCAGTATCCACACAATGGTGAGTAGGGTCAGACTGGCACCAACCAACTTATTTGAGAAGCATTTAGAAATTGGAGCACTAAGAACGGATAAGAATATATGGATGAACAACGTCTATGACTACAGCGAGAGCGACGTTCCATTGTAGGTACCAGCACCGTTATCAAGCAAGTGGTGAACAGAATGATGATGATGATGATGATTTACCTTCCGAGATAATGCGTATTTATGGAGTTTCCCGGTTTTAATCGTTGAGATTGGTCGTGAAGGTTTGTCTCTGTCCCACTGGATGAGACTTAAAATCAGGAAACTCCGAGAAGCTATCTACATCAAAAGACTTCACGCATAAACGCTTCCATCTACACCATGCTCGGTGTTGTTATTGTTAACTGGCTTCCCTGTGCTTCTGCAGTCCTAGTCTCAGTTGTACTGTACAAACATCTCCCTCACACTTGTATATGTTACAGTCAGATTGTGAAATCAGTTATTTCATGAAATAACGAAGAGGGTCAGCATTTCAACTATCCCTACTGCTCGTTCTCTTTCTTCCTGGGTTAACCTTGGCATTCTCTCTGTGTGAATTTATGTGCAGTGATATTGCAGTGTTGGACCGGCCATACTGATTTTTCGCACGATCTTTCACATGTATCCGACTAAGACATGTGTTTCGTGTTTCTGAGAGTCAGGGCCACAAAATGCGTTTTGGCGATTTGTTTCGTGCATCACGAACATTGGCAATCGTTATCAAGCACATTTACATCACATTTGATACAAACGTCCAAACCTATTTATATAGCCAATAGCGAACTGGCTGATCCTCAAATGACTGAAATTTTTAGTCATTTCACGAAATGACTGATTTCACAATCTGACTGTAACATATATATGTTACTCCACCCTCATTCTGTTCATCATTTGCTTGAGAACGGTGTTAGATCCTACACCGAAACGTCGCTCTTTCTGTAATAATCAAGTTGTTCATCCACGTATTGTTATCCTTCCCAGTACTAACTAACCAGTAACCATGTCCCAACGGTTTATACTAAGAAGGCTATAACTGTTATCCTTCCTCAGTACTAACTAACCAGTAACCATGTCCCAACGGTTTATACTAAGAAGGCTATCACTGTTATCCTTCCTCAGTACTAACTAACCAGCAACCATGTCCCAACGGTTTATACTAAGAAGGCTATAACTGTTATCCTTCCCCAGTACTAACTAACCAGTAACCATGTCCCAACGGTTTATACTAAGAAGGCTATAACTGTTATCCTTCCTCAGTACTAACTAACCAGCAACCATGTCCCAACGGTTTATACTAAGAAGGCTATAACTGTTATCCTTCCCCAGTACTAACTAACCAGTAACCATGTCCCAACGGTTTATACTAAAGAAGGCTATAACTGTAATCCTTCCTCAGTACTAACTAACCAGTAACCATGTCCCAACGGTTTATACTAAGAAGGCTATAACTGTTATCCTTCCTCAGTACTAACTAACCAGCAACCATGTCCCAACGGTTTATACTAAGAAGGCTATAACTGTTATCCTTCCCCAGTACTAACTAACCAGTAACCATGTCCCAACGGTTTATACCAAGAAGGCTATAACTGTAATCCTTCCCCAGTACTAACTAACCAGCAACCATGTCCCAACGGTTTATACTAAGAAGGCTATAACTGTTATCCTTCCCCAGTACTAACTAACCAGTAACCATGTCCCAACGGTTTATACTAAGAAGGCTATAACTGTTATCCTTCCCCAGTACTAACTAACCAGTAACCATGTCCCAACGGTTTATACTAAGAAGGCTATAACTGTAATCCTTCCCAGTACTAACTAACCAGCAACCATGTCCCAACGGTTTATACTAAGAAGGCTATAACTGTTATCCTTCCCCAGTACTAACTAACCAGTAACCATGTCCCAACGGTTTATACTAAAGAAGGCTATAACTGTTATCCTTCCCAGTACTAACTAACCAGTAACCATGTCCAAACGGTTTATACCAAGAAGGCTATAACTGTAATCCTTCCCCAGTACTAACTAACCAGCAACCATGTCCCAACGGTTTAAACTAAGAAGGCTGTAACTGTAATCCTTCCCCAGTACTAACTAACCAGTAACCATGTCCCAACGGTTTATACTAAGAAGGCTATAACTGTTATCCTTCCCAGTACTAACTAACCAGTAACCATGTCCCAACGGTTTATACTAAAGAAGGCTATAACTGTTATCCTTCCCCAGTACTAACTAACCAGTAACCATGTCCCAACGGTTTATACTAAGAAGGCTATAACTGTTATCCTTCCCCAGTACTAACTAACCAGTAACCATGTCCCAACGGTTTATACTAAGAAGGCTATAACTGTAATCCTTCCTCAGTACTAACTAACCAGTAACCATGTCCCAACGGTTTATACTAAGAAGGCTATAACTGTTATCCTTCCTCAGTACTAACTAACCAGTAACCATGTCCCAACGGTTTATACTAAGAAGGCTATAACTGTTATCCTTCCCAGTAGTAACTAACCAGTAACCATGTCCCAACGGTTTATACCAAGAAGGCTATAACTGTAATCCTTCCCCAGTACTAACTAACCAGCAACCATGTCCCAACGGTTTATACTAAGAAGGCTATAACTGTTATCCTTCCCAGTACTAACTAACCAGTAACCATGTCCCAACGGTTTATACTAAGAAGGCTATAACTGTTATCCTTCCCCAGTACTAACTAACCAGTAACCATGTCCCAACGGTTTATACTAAGAAGGCTATAACTGTAATCCTTCCCCAGTACTAACTAACCAGCAACCATGTCCCAACGGTTTATACTAAGAAGGCTATAACTGTTATCCTTCCCCAGTACTAACTAACCAGTAACCATGTCCCAACGGTTTATACTAAGAAGGCTATAACTGTTATCCTTCCCAGTACTAACTAACCAGTAACCATGTCCCAACGGTTTATACCAAGAAGGCTATAACTGTAATCCTTCCCCAGTACTAACTAACCAGCAACCATGTCCCAACGGTTTATACTAAGAAGGCTGTAACTGTAATCCTTCCCAGTACTAACTAACCAGCAACCATGTCCCAACGGTTTATACTAAGAAGGCTGTAACTGTAATCCTTCCTCAGTACTAACTAACCAGTAACCATGTCCCAACGGTTTATACTAAGAAGGCTATAACTGTTATCCTTCCCAGTACTAACTAACTAGTAACCATGTCCCAACGGTTTATACTAAGAAGGCTATAACTGTTATCCTTCCCCAGTACTAACTAACCAGTAACCATGTCCCAACGGTTTATACTAAGAAGGCTATAACTGTTATCCTTCCCCAGTACTAACTAACCAGTAACCATGTCCCAACGGTTTATACTAAGAAGGCTATAACTGTAATCCTTCCCCAGTACTAACTAACCAGCAACCATGTCCCAACGGTTTATACTAAGAAGGCTATAACTGTTATCCTTCCCCAGTACTAACTAACCAGTAACCATGTCCCAACGGTTTATACTAAGAAGGCTATAACTGTTATCCTTCCCCAGTACTAACTAACCAGTAACCATGTCCCAACGGTTTATACCAAGAAGGCTATAACTGTAATCCTTCCCAGTACTAACTAACCAGCAACCATGTCCCAACGGTTTATACTAAGAAGGCTGTAACTGTAATCCTTCCCCAGTACTAACTAACCAGCAACCATGTCCCAACGGTTTATACTAAGAAGGCTGTAACTGTAATCCTTCCCCAGTACTAACTAACCAGTAACCATGTCCCAACGGTTTATACTAAGACGGCTATAACTGTTATCCTTCCCCAGTACTAACTAACTAGTAACCATGTCCCAACGGTTTATACTAAGAAGGCTATAACTGTTATCCTTCCCAGTACTAACTAACCAGTAACCATGTCCCAACGGTTTATAGTAAGAAGGCTATAACTGTTATCCTTCCTCAGTACTAACTAACCAGCAACCATGTCCCAACGGTTTATACTAAGAAGGCTATAACTTTTATCCTTCCCCAGTACTAACTAACCAGTAACCATGTCCCAACGGTTTATACTAAGAAGGCTATAACTGTTATCCTTCTTCAGTACTAACTAACCAGTAACCATGTCCCAACGGTTTATACTAAGAAGGCTATAACTGTTATCCTTCCTCAGTACTAACTAACCAGCAACCATGTCCCAACGGTTTATACTAAGAAGGCTATAACTGTAATCCTTCCCAGTACTAACTAACCAGTAACCATGTCCCAACGGTTTATACTAAGAAGGCTATAACTGTTATCCTTCCTCAGTACTAACTAACCAGCAACCATGTCCCAACGGTTTATACTAAGAAGGCTATCACTGTTATCCTTCCTCAGTACTAACTAACCAGTAACCATGTCCCAACGGTTTATACTAAGAAGGCTATAACTGTTATCCTTCCCCAGTACTAACTAACCAGTAACCATGTCCCAACGGTTTATACCAAGAAGGCTATAACTGTAATCCTTCCCCAGTACTAACTAACCAGCAACCATGTCCCAACGGTTTATACTAAGAAGGCTGTAACTGTAATCCTTCCCCAGTACTAACTAACCAGTAACCATGTCCCAACGGTTTATACTAAGAAGGCTATAACTGTTATCCTTCCCCAGTACTAACTAACTAGTAACCATGTCCCAACGGTTTATACTAAAGAAGCCTATAACTGTTATCCTTCCCAGTACTAACTAACCAGTAACCATGTCCCAACGGTTTATAGTAAGAAGGCTATAACTGTTATCCTTC